TATGCCCAAAAAGTTGACGTGTGTCAGGCACAGAAGGTTGATCATCTACTTTCCTATTAGATGATCACGAAATAGATGGAATTTACAACTGGCGTCGTACGGTGAAGGAAATTGTGAGGAAACGTCTGTCTTTGGGAATATATAATATATCTTAAATTTTGATGCTTTTAGCATATGAAAGTCATAGCGTTAAGTCTCGACTCTAAATCGTACACTAAGACCCAAAACCGTGTATCAGTTTATAAAGAAAAGAGATTGAGATGCAGAAATCCATTTTCCACTTGTATTTTTACAGAATTCGGTGAAATGGAGTTCGATTCGGCAGCATTACTCTCAAGTAATGAAGTTACTTAAACAAGCCAATAAAAACTTGTCGTTTCTCATTCTGCTATCTTTCTTCACTAATATATATTATGTGTGTCTGCAGATGTATTACTCCATTCAGTATGTATATAGGTTTTCTATTTTTACCCTTTTATATAACTGTTTCTTACGTAGGTTACACTGAAATTTTTTAGAAAATTAACTAGGTACTGTATTTGTGTTTGTAAAAAAGATATACTACCCGTATTATTTCTTATTCAGATTCTATTGGATGTTATTATCTACTTACGTGTATAATCTGAGCCAAGTGTTAAATAATAAACGTTATTTTTGTTTAACAGGGCACAAACTTTTTAAATCTAACTATTTATTCATTTTTAATTCTTGTTATATTATATTTAGTCTATATTTAAAAATATTATATTGTCAGTGCATATGTAAATATAAAGACGTGAAAGTATATTATGTATATTTTCTTATACTATAATGCCACAAGGCTCGCAAGTGCATTGCCAACCTTTTAAGAATTGTTTTTTTCTTGAAGGAACTTTAAAAATCCAATTATTTCTTTGGCCAATTTAGGTTAATTATATTTAGAAGTCATTATTTACTATTTTTCATTTCAGTCGAGCTTATGACTCTCATAAAGGTTGCCCTCAAGAAGATGTAATATTGTAAGTAATTTGCAATAGTAACAAATCATTTAAGCAAATCAATCATATAAGTTTATGAACTCGTCAAGTTGTACTTATCTAGCTGAAGATGCGTACTAATTATAAAAAAAATCTATATTAATTATGAGGATTTGTAATTGTTTAATAAATGCAATTTTTTTAAAGTAAATTGGAGATTAAAGAGTGAGAGAAAAGATAAAAATAAAAAGTGCAGACTGCTATATGCAGGTTCAAATGTAAATGTATCTATTGGTTAATCAAAATATAATGTATTCATATAGACTTATGAACGTAACTAAAAAAAAAATTGCTCCTAAATTTATAATTACTGCCTGCTCAAATCAAAGGCAAAAACGAATGAGAAGAATTGGCATCAAACTTTCTGTTTTAAATGTGAATTAAGTTCAGTAAACATTAAAGTACTAAAGTACAAAGTAGACCGTATTTATTACAATCACAGTGCAACTGCAATCTGGCCGAAGTCCCAAAATAAATAACATCTCGTGCTAAGATTTATTAGTGTGGTAGTCCATGCATCGGGTTGTCCCTCTTTCGCAATGTGTGCGAAGGGGCCAATTGCTGGCCATGCGTTGTGCTCTCGTCGGAACTTGAGGTGACTGGTCGTGCTTCAACTCGTTCATGTGGTAATATTACGTCTTTGTGTTTAATTCCCACTATAATGTAAGAGCGTGTTTCTATTTAGCCCGTTGATGCTAAACGTTTGTTATTATATTATATTTTATGATATTGGTTTCAATATATCAAGTATGTGGGAAGTATGGCGTGTTGCAGTTCCTTACATTTTCTATTTCTAAAACTTGGCTATTAAAAAGCGTGGCGGTGTGTTTCCTGCCAGTTCTTCTCACCTGCTTTACGTCCTTGATTTGGGAACTGGTAGTAAGATAATATAAATTTAGATCTTCCGTTTTATATTGATATTAATAGGTAATATTGACGTTCATAAGTGTAAAGGCAATTTTATTAGATACATTTTTGATTTGACCTGATTTTATTTGTGAATTTTTCAGATCAGTTGATGGTATAGAATACAATGCATACTACATATTTTCTCTACTATTTCTCTTGCTACGTTCTTTTATGACATCGATGATGGCTGTTCAAGTCAACACGGAGGCACTGAAACCTTTGACAGTTCTGCGCAATATTCAGACGCAAGATTACACACTTGATGTTCGTACATTTCAAAATGATTACAGGTTTTTTTAGATAATTGTTAAATGTTTATTTGCTCTTTGCTCAAAAAACTTAAAACGGTAGTTAGGAACTACAAGTAGCTATTTCTGGAAACTCCAGACCTTTTTGCCGGCAATTTAGCGCAAATTGCATCCTACATGCATGTAGCAAGTGCGTAGGGAGTTGTAAATTGCTATATTTTGTAGTTCGCAATTCTTTTTTTTAGTTTGGTTGGGCAAACGAATATGATTGGGTTATTTATTTCAGGTGCAACGATTTATTCGTCAAATTCAGTACTGTAATCCAGCTTTGAGTGGAATTTGCTTTTCCGTCACTAAACAAATGCTTTTTTCTGTAAGTATTATTAACCGGAGTAAAATATAAAATAATAGTATATACAGATTCGAAATACATTTTCAAATACCCCTGTTTAGTTGCCGTATTGATTACAGCTTAATGATACAATTTATTTTCCATACAACTATTTCAGAGTAACGCATTTGATTCAATGTAAATAGAAACAAGTATTTTTATATAACTAGAATATATAGTTTCTTATACATAAGGTGAACAAGCAGTATAGGTTGCTTGGCTTCAGCGTGTCACTCTCATGCTCATGGTCATAACTTCGAAGCCCGGCTGGGCACCAATGGACTTTCTATATGCGAATTGTTTTTTTATCAACGGAAGCCTGCAGCCATGGTGGAGGAGGTACTGGGTATAGGTATTCTCCTCATCCACAAGGAAAGAGGAGAGTCTCCCGATATTTGGGTCTATGTGCGCATTTAAAATTAGCTCGTACTATTTTACCTGCATGCCTTAGACCCATGTTGACGTAGTACAGAAACAGCCAGAAATCTGAGGCCCATACCTGAAGGGTTGTAGCGCTATTTTTATTTACATGAAGTATTTGCGAACCAATTCGACTTAGGGTCTTTCAAGAAAGGGCGTACCGATTCTTAAAAGGCCGAGCGGCCAATCTCCTTGGGCGGCGGTATCACTTAACATTTGGTAAGCCTCCTGCCCGTTTGCCTCCTATTACATAAATAAAAAATATGAGGCGAGGCGTATAGCAAGAAAAATTTCTATCGGCAAAGTGATTATATTAAACATTCGTTTGATTGGAGTTAAAATCGTTTCTGTTCCAGGCAATAGCTACAGTAGTGACGTATGAAGTTGTCTTACTTCAAAACAGCCGCACTCGAGCGATGCTATATGACGGTGAATACGAAATGGACAAAAATGAAACTACCTTCTTGCATTATATATATTAATCTATTACACAGGTCTGCAACAAAAATGCTGTCTGGTTTTTTTTAATATCTATGTATAGGTGTTCTGAAAACATAAAAAAAATACTTTGTATACTATAATATTATTTTGCTACTGGGAAAATTTGATTTTATTACTGTTTTTTAATTCATACAGGCCACTACACTATTATTGCTTTCTATATAAAGAACTCCTTGTGTGAGCAAATTAGCGGACCAAAAAATGTTGGCCTCCAAGGGAGGGATTGGCTTAACTTTGGCGAAAAAAAGTCTTTTATGTAACCTTGGAGCCTCCTCAAAGGTCTTCTACCACTACTTCTTATAATATTTCATTTATTGGTTTCAAATATTATATAAAGTTTCCAGGCCTTTCGGAGGCAAAGTAGACGGAAGGTGTTTTCGTAAGACCTGATATTAGACGGCTGCTCTACAACTCATTGCAACAATGACGGATTCTCATAGAAGGCCATCCTTCGCCTTTCAAGAGGTCATAGGTGTTTTTTTAGGAATTAACAAGACCCTAACTTCAAATAAATCCCCAAAAAAATTATAAGAACATTTGAAACTTTGGTTTTATAATGAGTTTAAAAGTACATTTTCTTCATTCCCAGTTCCCACGTCAACGCCTTTCAAGACTTTCGAGAAACCAATATATTAAGGGGATGGAAAAAGATACCAAGGAAGATGGAGCGTCTTGATGATGGCAGAGACTTTCCAGATCCTTCCTACGAATGGACCGAAAGAGTCCCACTGGACTAAATAAACGTGGTTTTTGCAGATCTTTAATTATTAGAATATGAGTGTTTGAAATAATATATGTTTGGAGCTAGCTTTAAACATAAAAAATATAATAATGGTGGAAATAAAATATCATTATTGCTTTTTGTTTTTTTTTATATATGATACAAACTAGTCTGCCACAAAGGGCAGCTGCTGGAGTAGCAGCTTTGATATTAGGAGAATCCTCTTTTTTGAAGTTTCCAGGTCGTATCTCCAAGGACCTTCACTTGAAGCCGATTCACAGCACGCAAAAGCTTGTCAACTAAAATTCTTGTTAACTTTTATTCAAATATGTTAGGAAAAATGTAAATTTGATTTACATCGAGAAGCAGAAGATATTCTGTGTTTGACTTTAACAAGGCCTACTTTGTTATTTAAGCTAATGCAGTACATTTATTACAACCTACAGCCATCATTCTCCTTTGCTACTAACATTTTTACATATATATTAATTCAAAGCTTTCGCATGTACAAGAACCGTGCTCATGAAATACAATTTTTTAAGTTTTGTTTAATGTAATTTTAGTTTAAACATGTTTATATATACGTACTATGTTCTATATACAATATATTAATACCTTAGTACGTTTTATCTTTAACGAAAATAATGTGCAAATGGTGAGTACAAAAATCGAGGAAAATAGGGTAGAATGAACAACGCCCATGCGTTGTTCTAATCAGAGCATTCATTTGAGATGCTGATTCTAATTGGCTGATGATTTCAGCCGAGGTGAATTTCATTAAAAGAAGCCACAACACTTATGCTAACTCCGTGGAGAAGTATACCATGGTCTTTTCATGTTGTATGAGAAAACTATGATAAAACCCCTTTACTTTATGAAGTACAATGGGTGAACATGTTAAACAAAAGTCAACACGATGACGCCATTCGTTTGATTGTGATCGGTCAAGCAGAGAGATGGTTCGAGTCGCCTATCTGTGATTAGACTAAAGATTTGTCTATGATTTTCTTGTTACGAAATGGTTCTAATTTTGCTTATAAAGAATGCTTCAAATTTTTCATAGAAACCTATACATTGCCATCACCTCTTAGCCTTTGCCTAGGTGATTAGCCTTCTGACACACGCTATCGACTTTGGGATCTAGGGCTTACTCGCACCTTCACAGTACAAGCGAGAAAAAAGAAAGATGCACTCATGCTCCCAGGACCCAGGGTACGAACGTGCACGCTCAAAACTCTAGGCCAACACTTATCAAGAATTTGCCAGTGAAACAATGATGCGCCTTAGATATCTCACTTAAGTCGTAAAATAAATGAAAGTAGTCCCTTTATGACGGTAACAATGTAAAACTATAAAGTTTAAAATACAATGTATCATACGAACGAATGAATAATGTGAGTTTAATCACTTGGGAGATTAAATGCGTTTATTTTTAACTTTGTATGTGATAATAATTGTTAAAGACAATTTCATATTCTGATAGTTTTATTAAAATAATATTTATTTCATAAATAACTAAATCAGTGGCGCTACAACCTTTTACGGCCTCAGATTTTATGACTGTTTCATGATCATTTGTCAATACAACAAGGAAGTAGGTGATCAGCCTCTTTTGCCTGACATACGCTGTCGACTTTTGGGTCTAAGGCAAACCGGTTTCCTTACGATATTATCCTTCACAGTTTGAGCGAATGTTAGATACATAGAAAGAAACTCTATTGGTGCACAGCCGGGGCTCGAACCTACGACCTCAAAGATGAGAGTCGCACCCTTAAACCACTAGGGTTACACTGCTCAATATCATGCATCAATATTTACTTCATAAACACGTGTATTGCGTTACCTCTAAATGGGACAGGGTGCAGACAAGCGTCTGTTTGGGCATGTTATAATTGTGGTTTTTGCCGGGATTTGTACCACGATCTTTGAGTTATATAGTTGGGGCATTAGTTGCAATTACCCGTGATCCGTAAACCTAAAACCTACCTTTCTCATGAACTAAGTGATTGGTGAAAACAGGAGTAAATTCCGTGCAGTAGTTTTTGAGATTATCGCGAATATACAGACACAGATGCGGCGGAGGACTTTAAGTCTTTAGACTCTCATATAAAATAAAAGTTAGACTATCGCGGCTTATTTGTAGTCATTAACAAGTTCTACAACATTTCTCTAGAACTCAATAATATACCTCTCATCATTAAGGCAGCGTTCGTAAGAAATGTTTTCGTTCCACCGATTTTTAGTTAGCGAATCAGACTACTTTTAATTTTTCATAATTGTACACTCACAAATAATATGGTTTTCTAATAGTAAAAGAATTTTCAAAATTGGTTTGTAGGGGTACTACCCAAATCCCCGACAAATTCACCAATCCAAAAACTTTACCTCTTCATAATATATTCATGAATTGTTCTTTATAAAAATAAGGTTTGACTTGAAGGCGCAAGATCTATTGAAGATTCAGAGTAATTTGTTCAAACAACACTTTTACTAAGTAATTTTGAAGTCATTATCAATATTAATAATTCATTGGTTAAGTTTGTGCTACGAATTGAGGCTTCAACCTATAATTTTTACATTTATTGACGCTATCAGCAATCACGATGCTTATCGCTTTTACAACCAAAATTTACTCAATAAAATCTGAATACAAACAGAATTATTTTTCTGTTTTTTGTCCAATGAAATGTTCTCTCTTTAACACTTCTGCCTTGACTATTAGACATGTAGAACAACTCTTGTTTTTTAAACTAATTACTAGCATAGTTGTTGCAAAATAATAGACAAGATTATTATCTATTATAGTGCATACAACTATGACGGGTCTCGTTGCCAGGCCATAAAATTATTAAAAAAAAAAAACAACTTTGACGGGCCGCGGTGGCCATGTTTTGGCGGGATTTATCAAATATAAATCTATCAAATATTTTCTGTATTCGATTGTATTTTCGATTCTTTGACTAATTTTATTCTTCATTTCGTATTTTTATATTACCAACATTGTTTATAAAGTTCCTTCTGTGTTTAAAGTTGAAATTTCGTGTCATTAATAGGCGTTCTAAGCTCTTAATTTTTCTTTGAACATTATTTAAGTTTAATCAATCTTTTTAGAGCAAAATTGTTTTATTATTGTCATTATTTTAATAATGAACCAGCCTTTGAAAATTAACGTAAAAGAGCGAAGTAATTCTGTCTTTGATAGTGAATTTTATTTTTAAATAATGGTTTTGCTAAACTGTATTTTTTTCAGGCAATCAATATGATAAAGAAATAGAAAATATACATATAAACGCAACCGTGGAAAGTGATAAGGGAAAATGGTATTTAATTGGAATATATACATATTTAATTTATAAGCTTATTACTTCATACCAATTTAATACCATTTTCCCTTATCACTTTTGATTTACAATTTCAGGAATTTCAAAGATGGAAAGCAAAATAAATTATCACAATTAATTAAACCGACGCGTTTTATTAATTGTAAGTAAACTATTCATTATAAGAAAAAGTTTTGTTTAAAAATGATGTATTTATTTTACTAAAATTATTATTACAGGCTCAATTAGATATTTAGGTTAAAATGTGGTGGTATGACATGAGTACGAATTATGAATAAGTATTATTTTATTACCATTCTAGGTCTAAACAATTTAAGGACACGCTATGAACATGACTTTCAAACTCAACAAGATGCTTTTAAAGGAGCTTCCTCTATGCTTATCATTGCTGGATATACTATAGGTCTCAATCCAGTTTCTGGTGCATTAGGAAAAGATGTATCAAAAATAAGGTAATACGCGTATTTTGTTATAACAACCAATAATATAATAACTAAAATATATTATTAAAATGAGTTCCTTTAGGCAAGGTTCCAAAGATACTGGCAGCGCTCCCCCTTTGCATAGCTAGACTAATTCTTTGTCTGAGGTAGCTGCCAGCTCTTCGGTCCTGTGATGTCAACTAACCTTTTTGCTATTTCATTAAAAAGCTTTATAGCGCTAGGACCCCACGGATCAGCCTAGACCCCTGTATCTGCATCCTTAAGCTCTTTCAGCACCAGCTGTGTGTATATATATATACGCGACTACATATATACTTCAGCACTCTCCCTGACAGTTAAGGAAGTAGTTGAAGCTTTTACTCATCAACACTTTTACTTTTATTTTGATAACCGTAATGGAAATGCATTTGGGCGTTCTCTGCCCCAAGTAGCAGTCACAGGGACATCCTACATCTGGCCTGGCCTAGTGGCTTCAGAGTGTGACTTTCATCGTTGAGGTCGTAGGGTCGAAGCCCAGCTGTGCATCATTGGAATTTCTATATATGTGCGCGTGTAACACTTGTTCGTACGGCGAATAAAAACATCGAGAGAAAATTATCGTCATCCTGTCTGAAGGCATGCCTTTGACTCAACAAGTCAAGGGCGCGTATCAGGCATAGAAGTCTTAGTAAACTACTTGCATATAAAAAAAATATGATCACATCGATCTAAAAACTAGTTAAAGTTACTTATAAACATATAAGTGTGAGACAAAAATATAGTTTCATTCCGTTTTAACTCGTTATTATATTTATTAAAACATTATTGAAAACATAAATTAACCTAATTAATCCTGTGTATATAGATACCAATCAACTGTATATTGTTTTAATTTCGACATTGAAGGGTGCAAGCTCCAAGTGGAGAAAGGTTTGATCCGGGAAAAGTGTATTTTCTTTCATAAATTTTCAGATCTGAGAGTAAATCCATGAAACACATTTACAGTATAATTTTGTGTCTTTTTCAAATGCTAATAACGCTATTGTGTATTATGAATATTTTCAAAAAAAACATCTCAGTTACAACCTTGGGTAAGTATATCTGCAATATCTCCTTAAATCAAATATTATACCAGAAACAATAGGAAGGCAGAAATACAATAAAACTTGGAAGCATTAAGATTATAATATAACTAATTTTAGCCGACCAAAGTGGATTCATGGCATCCCTAAAGAATATATTGACGCTGTTTACAGTAGTAAATTAAAAAGTAATTAAAAACAGTGAGCAAAATTAATGTAACCAATAAGGTTACATCTTTTATGCTATGACATTTGAAAAAATTTAGAAATGGAATTAAAACTTGCCTATGCTATTCAATTTACAAAACAGGCGATTGAGAAAGAGAAAATTAGTGGCCAAATATAAGACTCGGTCTAACGGTTATCCTATCATAAAATCTGTTAAAAATAAATATTGCATTTAGACATTACAATTATTTTTATTCTTTGTTACAGCTAACGTGATATTCTATGGAACAACGTTCGTTACGAGTTTCCTGTTTCTACGCTTAGCACGGAAGTGGCAAGTTATATGTCAGGAAGTGACGTCATCACGTCTAGATGAATACATAGATCCACGTATTCAATTCAAATGTACCTTAGCCACGATTCTTATGTTCACTATGGCCTTGTGTAAGTCGGTCACAATTGTATGGAAAGTTTTTTGTTTGTTTAAAAGGGTTTGCTGGTACCATTTAATTCAGGAATATTAGAGCTATACCCTACATTTCCTTACTGCAGGTTCCTATAGATAAATTCCTAGCAATAGTTAATTGCGCACATAGAAAGAGAAATCCATTGGTGTTTAACCGTGCTCTGCAAAATACTGAATAAAGAGTTTTAATAGATTCTACTCTATAGTTTATGTTTTAATTATACAAATTTAAGCAATAAGCTACTTTCGACCCTAGGTACGTTCAAATCATGGTGGTGCACACAAATGGGTCCCATTCCTCATTGAAGGTGTTACAAATATTTTCAGTTGAACATGTTCTATCGATAATTTCACAATTTGCGCATATAACCGACTGCGTAACAAAAACTGATGTTTTCAAGACTTATATTGAAATATATTTTGATTGGATATCCTTTCTCAATTTACCTAACAATGGGGTACTATCAGTATTTGTAATGGTGAGTTATGTAAAATATTGTCTATCACTTTTTGAAAAACCTAAACCGTTCAAGTATTACGTAACGAATTTTGGGGGGTCCTTTTGTAAAACGTTACGATGCGGGGCGGAGATTGAATTTCGCGTTATTGTTAATATTATTTTCGACTTTGCAGTACTTCACACCACATTATAGTAACTTTTAGGTATACAGAGTCACTGGGTGGTTCACGAAATGTTTTACTATTGGGTACAGAAAAACGTTACGGCGCGTTACATGGAGAGGGGGGCTCCCATAGTCATAATAATAATTAAAAATTTATAAATGGATAATTAAATAAAATTTAAAAAGATTCGTTCCTGTGGCAGTGTACTTTTAATGCTGGCAGCATTTCCTGGCTATATTGCGAATTGCGATACTTATTCGTTTAGAGAGGAAAACACCAGCTCTGGGGTCACCGGTACTATCTACCAGGCGCCAACTTAAATCTTTAATTAGCGCCTTTGCACTTGAATTAAATGCTTTACCAGGAGTCGAACCTTTGTACGGGTGTATGTAAAGGCCTTCAAATATTGTTTAACGCTTTATGGGTGACTCACGAAGGCGGTAAAAGAGTTCACAATTTTTTACCGCCTCCATAACCATTATTAATATATTTTAAATTTCAGTTCTTGAATATTATATGTACGCTCAATTGGAATTATTCACACCTTTTTATAATATGTATCAGCCTCTATCTGAGTTCTGTATTGGAACAAATAAACAAAAAACTGCGTTCTTCTGAGGGTCAGGTATGTGAGTAGTTACTAATGTAGTAAATAAATTTGACAAAACTTTTTACTGGCTTGGATTCATGTCAGTTTCTTTTTATTGATAAATTTTCTTGTGTTAAAATGGGCCTCACATTTATGCATCTGTTTCTTGTGCTTGACATACGCTGTCGACTTTTTGGGTTTCACCGTTCGAGCGAATGTTAAGCGCACATAGAAAGAAAATATATTGGTGCCCAGCCGGGGGGATCGAACCTACGACCTCAGGTATGAGAGTCGTACGCTGAAGCCACTAGGCCATCACTGCTCAGTACTAAACACCGCCTTACCCCTTAAAATAATTTTCCCAATGCATAATTTGATTTAAGGGGTCACTAGTTTATTATTAGGAATTTTATTTTTATTTCAGTTCCTGCCATCGTCATTCTGGAAGAAACTCCGAGAGGATTACAGTAGTGCGACACGTTTAGTGCGAATATTTGATAATTATATCAACACAATTATATTCGTTGCATTTGCCAGCAATTTGTTCTTTGTCTGCTTGCAATTGTTTTATATATTATCGTAAGTGTTAAAATTTAATTACAGAGACAGGCACACTTTCATTGTCCATTGTCAAATATAAATATTAAAAAAAACAAAAAAAAAAAACCTGGCAGGTGAAAAAAATAATCTATCAACATTGTCATAGGTAACATTTTCAACTAAAAGAACTAATTTAAAAAAACTTAAATTTGACTTTAATATTTTTTCAGATACGGCTTTAACTTCAACAATGTCCCAAATAAGAACTGTCCAGATTATGGTTCCGGGTATGAAAATGTTTATTCTATACTTAAACCTATTGCGATCTCATATTCTACGGCGGTTCTCTACCTGCACAGACTAACACAGCGACAAGTTCACAGACTAGGACACAAATTACCGTCTATAACTCAGGTTAATCTGTGCAATAAGTGGCTCAAGGAAAAATTTTGTTTTTAGAAGAGTCTCAATAGCTTATTTCTAATAATTCTAACTTTATACTCCAAGTGTTTTGTGAATTATCTACCTATTTATTTGAGTTCTGTGATGTGTATATAAAAACGTTATATTTTTCTTATAGTTTTACCGTATATATCGAATTTATCTCCTTTTTAGTCTCTTCAATAGTTACGAGTACATAATCTATATGTTTACTTCGATTATGTTTATCATGGGCCGATCCCTTTTCGTGGCGTTGATTGCTTCAAAGGTCCACTCAGCAACCCAGGTGGCAGCACCGATTCTTTATGCTGTACCATCTCCAGTCTATTGTATCGAGGTCTTTATATCTATTTTAGTATGTTTGTTTTTGTCAATTTTGAATATAAATGTATGTTTGATAAACACAGTACAGTACACAGTTGCGACGATGTATAACGTTGTGTTCCTCCTAAAGGGTCCTAACACATTTGGGTATTTGTTTCAATTATTAATCCTCTTAAGGTTGACCAGTGACCACCTTACTACTAAAATTCAGTGAATAACCAATAATATCAAACACAAACTCACGCAAACTTTCGTGAGAAAATGAAATACTCGTGTTAAATGTTACACTTGTTTGTACAGAATAGAATTTTTGGTAATAGACATAAGTAAAAACGTAATAAAGTAATTAATGTAACAGGTGCAGAGATTCATCGAGCAAGTACACGGAGAGTCAGTGGCACTCACGGGGATGAACTTTTTCCAAGTTACCAGGGACCTTGTGCTATCAGTACGTTTCAAAACTTGAACTTGAAACTTGAGATCGTAAGAAAATGTATACAAGAAAAGAGCGTACCAACTCTTAAAAGGCCGGCAACGCACTCGCGAGCCCTCTGGCATTGAGAGTGTCCATGGGTATCACTTAACATCATGTGAGCCTCCTGCCCGTTTGCCCCATACTAAATCACCTTATTTTAAGTTTAAAAAGTTACGCAACTTCTTAAGAGCTTATTTTAAACTTTTTTCAGGTAGCTGGTACCATCGTGACTTATGAATTAGTGCTTTTGCAATTCACCTAAATACATCTGGCTTTCGGAAGATCTTCTGCGTATCTAGTTATCAATTGAAATTGTCTATTAATAAATTGTTTGTCGGTATTCTGCACGTGTAGTCTTTATTAGAGTACTACATAATCAGGATTACATTCAGTCAATGCCATTATGTATAATATTACACGACCTCCGACGGCGTGAATGCCTCCTCCAAATTCTTCCGCCTGTCTCTCATCCTCGCCACCATTTTCCATTCCTTCCCCGCTGTGAATTTTATTCTGCACGTGTACAATACATTAATGTATTTAAGGAGTTGCTAAGGTTGTCACGCTTTTGTCTACGCACTATGGTGGAGAAAGATAGCCTTCCATCTTGGGAAGGTTGTAGTGGCTGTAATATAAATCTTATTGTATAATGAACAGTCTATCATAAAGAGTCATTGAGAGAAATCATCTGTTTTTAGATTTTTTTATTAACTATATAACCATTTGTTTGCTTGAGCTTTTTTGGGTATGTTACCATAGATGTTAAAGTATAGTACTGAGGTCATGGTTACTTACTTGGTTAATTTAAAAAAATAATATAAATACGTTATACGATTTTAAAATTGTAAGTTGAACTTATAGAATAGATTCACATAAAGGATTTTTCAATGTAGTATCTAAATAATTCTAAGAATTAAATAACCCACCCAACCCACACTAATATTAAATTGTTTTAATTTAATCCAGAAAGCTAAATTTTTCCTAAAATATCAACATATGCTTTATCCTGTTTATTAAATTGTTAAAATCAGTCAGTTCATTAAAACTAGTTAAAATCATAAGCTTCACGAAAATGTGTACATAACGTAAATTATTCAAGGGAAAATGTTTTTCGCCAACAATACGTTTACAGAGTAGCTCATAATACTTTTTAAGACGGAATGATAGAAGCTCTGCATAAATTCACTTCGAGGTTGAATAAGTAGAGAAAATTTTCACAGTTTTCGGATTTAAAATGAAAATTTCAGCTACATTTTTCACTAAGCGCTCATCATTTTTCATTTACTTGTAGATAATCATCTAGACTTAAAAAAGTAGACTTAAAATATTCTTTGTTTAAGGTTTATAATTTATTACACAGTGAAAGCATCTTGAAGTTACCAGGATTAGATCAAAATGTCGATGTTTGTCTAAAGTCTTAAATTCATGGCTAGAAAATAATTTTGGAGCAATTATATCTGAGGCCAAGACCCACAAAGTATTATAGGAACACACGACATATATGACTCAAAAACTGTATAGGTCGGTTATCGAAAGCTGGCGCGTTCACAGTACTCACACTAATGCAATTTCACTATACAGTATGTTTAAAAATATGACTTTTTTGCCAAGCTATATATTTTGTCTACTCTGGTTTTAGTAAGGTTGGGTGGGTTGTAAATAAATAAAAATGTGTCAAATGCATATAAATATTATGTGCATACGAGGGTGGATCCAAAAGTTCTAATCCCGACTAAGAAGGTAAAAGAGTAGTTTGTGTAAATAATTTTTCATTTTTCGACATAAGCTCCATCTAGCTCAACACACTTCACTTTTACTTCACTAACTATTCTTTCAATACTCCTCTTAGAAACCCCAGTCGCATCTGATGTCAAATTAAATATGACATTTTTCATTAATCTGTTTTTATTAAGATGCTTAAAATAATTAAAAACATTGTGCACCATTTCACGAGATTGCCCTGGTAATGTTTGAAAAAAGATCAACATAAACAGTAGCAAAAGCAAAACAATAACTGTCTCTTTTATACTCATAAGCTTGACCGAACGCGAGAGAGACGGGCAGTCTTTTCATGATGTATTTGTGATTGTATTTCAGTTTGACATCACGCCTCGCGCTTATTCACAGACACTACACAAGCACAAAGTCTAAATGTGTTGAAGCCACCAGCTTTAGATAACATACCAATACATAGCTGTGACATAATTATTAACCTACATATATTTGTGTCAAAATTTCTAAGACCAATGAGATCGGTCACAAGCTATGAATCTCAAATTTCTGAACAGGAACAGTTTTTATTGAAAAATTCAACTGTCATTTTTATTAGTTTTCATTATTGTATCTATTATTTCCCATTAATAATAAATTTAAAGCTTACCCGAACTTCCCCCAATATTTCAAGATCATAATTAGCCAAATCTATCCAGCCATTCTCGAGTTTTAGCGAGACAAACGAACAGCAATTTATTTTTTATATATTTAATTACAATATTTATATGCTTTAACATGTGATTAGGTAAAAAACCAAATAATTTAATAGATTAACGGAGTGCTCTTGTCGTTCGTTCTACGTCCTTTATTTGAGAACTGGCAGGAAATGTAAAGAAACATAAATTTTTTTTAAACGTTCATAAGTGTACATTAAGTTACCTACATGAATAAATTATATTTTGATTTGGATGGAATGGAAATGGGCATAGCTCTTCCGTCTGATGACCGATCTAGGTTCGAAATTATTATTTGTTTACTGTAATTGTTGTAAACCGCACAATAAGCCATATAAATATAGGTATACCAATGTTATAATCAGAACAGTTAAGATATTTATAACTGTTGTCAAAACTTACAGTCTAAATATTCTCCCACATTATAAAGACCGTTAATACCTTAATCACCTTCCTCTTGAAAGTTCAGTTAGTTTAAAAAAATAAAAAAATGTAGTTGCTACATTATTATAATACCTAAATTAAATATTTTCTAAAATGAAAAGTTGTTTAGTTGCCAGCATCTCTCCAATAAATTTGATCAAAATCTAAAATTTTATCATATAAATAGATTCGAAAGCAAAACTTTCAGCTAAATATATAGTAGAAATATTTGATGTATAACGTAATAATAATATTGTATTCAAATTGTCTCTTTACGAATAAGATTTTATAAGTAGCAGGTGTTCTGTTAAGTGGAATTTCTAAATAACGAATGTGGATAACTTCGGGTTTGCTTTTACAGCTTAGCATACAGATTATGTATTGTGACAAATTGTATAGCTATACAGTGTTCCATATGATCGTGATAAAGCAGTTTATTGGAGATTATGACACATAGACATAACATTTATTACTAACGAAACACATGCTCAGAAACATACAAAATAATAATAATAAAAAAATAATGAAAAATAACTTCAGGCACCGTGACCACGCACGCTGTAAAGCACGCGAAACGTCGGATAAATTTAAAATCATGTTAAATAATTGTAAATTTATAATAATACATAACTTTAATCCGGTTAAAAAGTTTTTTCTTTAAATGTGTAAAGGTTATGTCAATCAAAGACAATACAACATTGACACATGACATTAAGGATTGTCAAAATGCAAGTTCATACAAATGTTTCATACATCACGAATCTAGATTTAATCTCAGCGTCTTAAAAACAGTAAATAAACTCTTTAGACTTCGAATTCAGCGTTAAATTAAAAGACCTTTCCATTCAGTCTGCGCAAAGTAAAATGAAAACGTACAATTTTCTAACGTAAAATACAATTAATTACTTCGTTTTATATTAATTGTTTGCCTCTACTTTGTACACAGGAAAACAACAAGATTTAGGATAATAGGACGAATTTCCATAAATAATAAAATTTTGTTCAACTTCTATTACGTCGCAAAAGTTTTCATTGATTCATAACGATTCATTAATTCCACTCAAGGAACAATTTAGGGTTGAAGTTTTTGTTTACATTGTACGGTTCTATTGAGTTTCTTGGTTTGTTCTTAAACATGTTGCAAATACATAAAAACATACTGACGCTGCTTCCTACATATGCCTCATGATTGCAATTTTTTTACCATGGAGAGTGTTCAGAGAAGTTGTTCGGATACCTGCAGCTTTCATCATCGGACGTGGAGGTAAAATACGAAATTCATCATCTCGGCGTCCGTCGTTTCCCATCTGAGCGTTTTTAAGGCAGTTTTTGACACGCACTACCACTATGTGGAACCAGCTCCCCACTGAAATATTTCCAACCAATTTGACTTAGGGTCCTTCAAGAAAAGAGCGTGCCAATTCTTAAAAGGCTGGCAACGCACTCGCGAGCCCTCTAGCATTGAGAGTGCCCATGGGCGGGGTGGTATCACTTAACATCAGATGAGCCTCCTACCCATTTGCCACCTGTTCTATAAACGAAATTTCTTTGATTTTCTTTCACAAGACAACATTCGAAGCGCACAAAATACTGTGTAACAATTGGAGAATACGAGGTATTAGGCAAATTAAGGGGTAGGCAGAGACCACGGTATCTACTTTCTACGGTTCTGACATACTTGTCTCGCATCATCCACTTTCATCATTCATGACATTCACTCGAATGCTCGTTGGTTACTTTTAACTTATTCCTTTCTAGTACGTTCTGGATTTGGTCCAGGTATGTACGATAATGCCTACCCAACTAGACTTCACAAAATGTCTATAAATCAGTAACAACATCGGTATTGTGTTAATCTGAGATTATAAAACATTTTTATTTTAGTATTATATTAGTATTGCTTTAAACGGATTTTAAGTATTGAAAACAGCACTAACGAATCTTTGAGATTGTCAACCTCATGTCTTGAATCATCTGCGTGAATGCTGTACAATCGGGGAATTGTCAGAAAAATCGGAAAGTTCTATTGAATGTTGAATACCTTTGTCGCAAAGAGAAGTCGTTCGTGTAATGGAGTACTTGAAAGCATTTGCGTCGTTTGAATTAGACGGGATTGCTCTGTAATGTTTGTGGAAGTGATTTTGGTGACATTTTCGAAATAGTATATAAATTTTAGGCATACCATTTTAGTATTTAAGTGCATGTTCCTATTTCACCATGCCTACTGCTGATAGACGACAAATCTTTGTTTATTTTTTTTGCTAAAATATTAAATTAATTATAATTAACTATTAATTACTTAAGATGTCATGTGGAACATGGTGTAATTACAAACATTTTGTAAAACATAAAACTTGGCGATTAAAAAGAGTGGCGGAGAGTTTATTGCCAA